CGGCCCTCCCTGGGCCCCCCTCGCCCCCACCCCCCCACCCCCCCTGACTATAGGGAAGTGATGGTTGGTTGTCAGTTATGCAGAAATGAAATGCATTTACAATCACACCCACTCTGCCGGTTGGTCCATCTGGTTTCCACTGTAACAGTTTAGACCAATAAGAACTCGTCAGTCGATGGTTTGCTGTAATTCCAAGCCTCCCCTCCAGGTTTGCCGCACTGATTTTTTTCTATTGATTTGATCGATAATCAAAGTAATAAAGGCAGTTTGGATTCCAAGATTACCGTCTTGAATGTTTATTGTTATGAGTGTATAATGAATAAGCGCTTCTTTATTAGATTGCGTATGGATCGCAGTTTCACTTAACACCTTGAATTGATTGTGCTGAAAGTGATTTGACCCCGGTGCTTATTCACACATATACTCTAATTGTATGCAGTAAAATGTGCTGTAGGTTTTCCAAGGTGGACAGTGATTTAGGGTCATTTCTTCTCACCAGATGTAAGCAGGTGATAAACTGTTTCCTCAGGGCTGCTGGTCAATAAGCACTGATTGTGGTCTCTGTCATGGTCAATATGTGCTGACTTTGATTATTAGCTGTTGTTACGGTCAATTGGCCATCACTAACGTCTGTGCTGTGTGACTGCACCCCCACCTTCACAGCCCACGGCCCTTTATTTATTTATAATGATACTGTTTGCCTCTCCTCTCACATTTCTGTGTCTGCTGTGAGAATGTTCCGGTATTCTCCGAGGATGGGTGTGCATTAGGCAGTATTAATGAATAATATTTGTTTTCTTCTGGGATATGAGAGGGAAAACAATGTCTCTCACAGTGACAAATGGACTCAATTTTGTGGATCAGATTTATGGATGTTTTATTTTTAGCCAGAGCCTAACTGCAGAATTTCTTTATGGGATATTGGAAGAAAATGAAAAAAAAAAAAAAAAAAAAAAAAACCCCCTTCATAAAGATTTTGCCGGCGGTTCACGTGGACTGTTCTAGAGGTCAGTGTGTTCCAGACCACAGCGGTGGTTGTGTTGAGTTCCACTGGAGCAGCTCCACACACCGAGAACCTGGAACCTGGTTTGAGAGCGACTCATTTGTTCAGTGAAGAATGTAGTGGAGACGTGTGCGTTAGTTTCCAGAGCAGACGCCAACCTCACAGAACACGTTAACAGTCCGTTTCCCTGAAAGCTCTTTGTCTTCTCCCAGCTCCCTACTCCAAACCAGTGGTAACATTGGAGCCTGAATCCAACCTGCGACCAGGTGACGAGGTTGCCCTGACGTGCACAGCTTATGGTGGATTTCCTGAGGCCGGCGTGGTGTGGCAGGACGGCGCTGGGCGCAACCTCACTGAGAATATCACCACTTCAGTGGTAGCCAATGAGGAGGGCCTGTTCACCATGACCAGCGTTCTGACCGTGGAGTTGGAGCCCAACAGCACCTACAGCTGCCTACTGATCAACCCCCTGCTGGGGGAGGAGGGCAACGCTTTTGTCACAATCACAGGTGGGTGTGAGCCTTCGTCTTGATGAATTGCGTTCAGGTCTTTTAGTGAACGTCGTCGCCGTCTGTTCCATTACAAAGTAAACAGTTGTAGTATCGGCTCGCCGCAGTGGTGAACTGTCGTAGCAGCATTACCAGTGCAGACTAATCCTATTCCCATCATGCATTTGGAAAGTTTCTCATTAAAGTTCTTGAATGCGTTTGTGAATCGATCTTTGACTGAATTGTTATTCTGTACAGACTGGTTCTTTTTTCTTTCTCAGTCTCAGCTTCGCAGCAATGAATAGAAAATGATAAAATGTCCGATTCGGTCTAACGGGCATCGGCGACGAGTTTTTTATGTATTGTTCAATTATCAGCCTGTTATCATGACACCAGTGCTGTTTAAATATCTTTTCATTACACATTTCAGAACAGAGAAAATGTTCTCCTTCAAATGCCAAAATGTTTTGTCTTTTTGTTTTCCTCCAAGATGAAGAAGTGACAGC